TGTTCTTTCTTTATTCCCCCTCTCCCTTTTAATATTTCCTGTTAATTTTCCCTCTGCCTTTTGTTCTTCATAGAACTTCTATTTTCTCCCTTATTTAATCACCTATTTCTCATGAGGTTTTTTCTGTTATACTTGCCTAATTCTATAAGCATCCCTCTAATTCCAGTATGACCCTGTTTTGGTTGACACACTGTGTCAACTTAAGGAGTCTAGAGTCTTGACTATGTGATTCAGTAGTTCTACATTCTGGGGTACAAAAGACATTCCCTTCCTGCTCTGGGTTGTTGTTCATTGTGTCAATTTGAGAAGTTTAGAAGGTTAACTAAGTGACTCAGCAGGGGGCCGGGATGCTTACTTTGTGTTCATCCTGGGCCTGTGCAAGAGGAAGGCATGGAGATTATGCGGGTGCTACACACCCCTGGGTGGGGGTCGCCCGCTTACAATATAAGGGAGGAAAAGAGGCTTGTTCCTCCCTTTTTCTCTTGCTGCTTTTACTGTTTTCTGCCACCATGACCTGTTGTCCTCTGCCATGTGCTACACTGCCTTGGAGTCAGCTGATTATGAATTGAAACCTCCACAAACTGATCTAAATAAACCTTTCCTTCTTTAATTCTGGGTGTCAGGTTTTTTGTCTCAGCAACAAGAAAAAAGTAACTAAGATAGACCCTTTGCCCCATTTCTCTCTCTGCTCCTTCTCATATCATGCAGTTTAAGGTTGCAGAAAAGTTTTCTGTATTCTCCTGTTCCCAAACCATCATATCATTAGTATAACCATGAAACTTTAGTATCAACAAAAATCAAACAATAACAAACGCTGGTGAGCTACACGAAGAAAGGAATCCTTGGCACTGGTGGTGGTGATGTAAGCTAGTATAACCTCTATGGAAATCTGTATGGAGATTACTCACAAATCTGAAAATGGCAAGCTCACTTGACTCAGCTATTCTCCTAGATGTCCTCTTAAAAGAGTTAAAGACATAATACTACACGGATGTATGCAAACCCATTTCTGTAGCAGCAGTTTATACTAGTTAAATATTGGAAGAAGCCTATATGTCCATCACTGGATGAATGGATAAAAAAGTGATAATTCTACCACACAGTGGAGTACTACTCTAACATAAAGCAGGATAAATTTGATTCGTTTAGAGGAAAATGGATGCACTTTCAGCTCATAAGGGTAAGTGAAATCAATCAGACTCACAAATTTAAATGTTGCATGGTTTCTCTTCAATGAGAAACACAGAGTATAAATAAAGGGGAAAATAAAGGATAATTTGGGTTGCTTCCACAATTTAGCAATTACAAATTGCACTGCTATGAACATGGGTGCACATATATTTCTGTGATATGATGTTTTCAGATCTTGTGGGAAAATACCCAGAAGGGGAATGGCTGGGTTGAATGGGACCTCTAGACCTAGTTTGCTGAGGAGTCTGCAAACTGATTTCCACAGTGCCTGCACCGGTCTACACTCCCACCAACGGTGGAGAAGAGTTCCTATTTCTCCACAGCCTCGCCAGCATTTGTTATTGATTGACTTCTTAATGATAGCCATTCTTACTGGGGTGAGATGAAATTTAATGATTACTAATTTGATCAATCTTGCACGTCTCTATTTGTTTTCCTGAGAAACCACTTTGAAGATATCAATGCGTAATACAACAACCATTGTCAATTTCCTAACACTTTGTCTGTAACTCTGTATTGTCTGTAGTTTTGTTGTGCTATTTTGTGAATGGATGTCTGTTTGCTAATATGTTTCCCTTCTTTCATTTTTAAAATAAATTTTTAAAAAAGAAAATAAAAAATAAAAAATAGGAAAAGGAAATGATTCATTTGCATATGAGAAGGCATCAAGAGATGGACATGGAGGGAAGGGAAGGGGTTGTTAAGGAGTTAAGATGTGTACGAGCACCAATTCCACACAATGAGTGTAATCATTACATGCTGCAAAAATGTATCACAAAACTAAGATTACAATAATTTTTTGAGATTGAAAAAAACCCTGGCTTAGCCATTGTGGTGGTGTACTGCTGCTATCCTAGCACCCTGAGAGGCTAAGGCAGGAAGATTACAAGTTAGAGTCCAGCCTGGGCAACCTGGCAAATTAGTAAGACTATCTAAAACTGAAAAATAAAAAATACAAGGGACTGGAGATGTAGTTGGATGTAAAGCTTTTGCACTAATCCTCAGTACCAAAATAATAAGAAAGCCACTACCATCATCACCACCACCATCACAAAAACAACAACAATAAAAGTAATAATTTTAAAGTAAAAACCCAATATTTGTAGAAGGCTCTATTAACTGAAGTACTAAAAAGGTGCTTTGTAGCCTAATTTTGAACAGAACCGCTGCAGGAAATAATATGCAAAGTCTCCAAATTCTCAAAAACAGTTGATCAGATATAGCTCTGTATGACAAAAATATTTAGGTTAATCTTGGTGCAATCTTCCCTATGAAAGTAAATGAAAAAGAAAAAGAGAAATGTATATTTATATACACACACCCACATACACACATACGTACACAAGATATATACACACAAGATATATATACACACACACAAATACACACATATACACAGTAGATAGCTGGGATAATTGTACTACTGATTTCTACTGGTTTGTTGGAAGGAACAATTAATGCCTAATTGTTTTATCGATCTTGCATGCCTATGTCTGGTAATCTGAGCAACTACTTTGAAGATAATAACATGTAAAATAACAACTATTGTTAATTTCCTGTCACCTTGTTTTGAAATTCTGGATTATTTTTATAATTTTTTTGTTGTTTTGTTTTTGACTTTGTATTTTTTTTGTTTCTTTGTGTGTTTTTTTCCCCTCTTTAAAATAACACTGAAAAAAAGAAAATAAATGAAAAGTTGATTCTGTTAAATAATTTAAAAACAATATTTAGCCAGGTTTGGTGGCACATGCCTATAATTCCAGCACTTGTGAGGGTGAGGCAGGAGGATTGCTGTGAGTCTGAGGCCAGCCTGGGCTACAAAGTGAGTTCAAGTTCAATCCAAACTGCATAGCAAAATCCTGTGTCAAAAAGACAAAAAAACCAAAAACCCTAAAACATTGTAAATGATAGTAACATCCAAAATTGTTAAATTAGTGACTAGTTCTGGACAAAATCTTGTGATCCAAATGGAATTTCCATTCCAGTAATGGAAATATTTTGAGTCCAATTTCTGATAAAATTAGAGGAGTATTACTCTGAATGGTAAATATGTTTGAACACTTTTAGTGTTTGTATTCAATATATAATAAAATATGAGTATGCTTAAATATTTTGGATACATTTGTGGGTTATAAGTGAAAATAAGAGGAGGAATTAGGAATAGAGTGTGGTAGAAAGAAAAATAAATGGTGAATCTGAAAACTGAATTCTAAGATTTGTTTGTGCTCAATCTGACAGCAATACATTAGGCAAGTTAAACATTTCTGAATGTCAGCTGTCTTAGGAATAAAATGGTTGGACTTGAACAATAGTGTAGGCTTAATTCTTTAAACTGCAAAATATATTTTTATATGGTTTCCTCAACTACATTAGTGTACAAAGTTCAAAAATTAAAACTATAGATGAATATATACATAGGTAATAACTATGCAAAAGTGTATATGTATAGATTTATAAGGGATAAATACATTTGTTTATACAGTTTGGGCACTGAATTCCAGCTGGGTTAGCCCTGAGCTGTCTTAAATAACCTCAAGACAATCTATAAAATGTAATTTGAAAATATGTTCCATTCTATCAAACATATTTTATAATTCTAGGGGAGTTATCTAAAGAGAAAAAAGACAAATATTTGCTATAAAATGTCTTTGGCTTCAGTTGTCAGAGAAACAGTATTTCTTACATATTTCTTTTGTCATTATGTCAATGAACTGATGGAGTTTTTTTTTTTTTTCTTTAATGTCTGTGAAATGAACTCTAGTGTGTGAAGATTTATGACTCCAGGCATATCAGCCTGGTAGCTACAATGTCTGGTACTGAGAAATTCTTAAAACTTTAGGTGAATTAATTTCACTCTATATGAAATAAGATAAATAAAATATTTTACTAGTAAATACTATTAAGTTATTCAAAACTTTTGGATGATCTGTTCAGCAATTATGTATTTGTGTGGTATTATATTTTTTTCTTTTTTTTTTAGTTTTTTTCTGGTATTGGGAATCAAACTCATGACCTCAAGCTGGCCAGGCAGGCGTTGTGGCACTGAGCTAAATCCCTACATTTCTAAAAATAATGTTGATTATTAACTCTTATGACAATGTTGTCTTCTGGATTTACCAAAAGATTTTGTGGTAAAGAATTACTATAGAATTCTATGCCTTTTGTCATTATATTTATCAAAAGGCTTGAAAAGGTGTTTTTGTATTTAATTGTGTAAAATTTCTTCTTTAAATCTAATTCTTTGCTATTTGTCATGTTTTGTGCTTTAGACTTAGAATTCACATTTGCAAAGTTTTTTAAACTGTTCAATACCAACTAAACTAGTTTTGAGTTGATTTATTTTTGCTTTCACCTTATGATCCTGACATCTCAGAGCCCAGCGTTAGATCCAACTGTCTTATTTTCTGTGTGTTAAGCGAGGACTTTTTGTTGAGGCATAAACACAATCCATTGCGGCACCAGAGTGTAAACATCACGCACTATCACTGCCTGTAGAAGCTGAGTCCCACTGTGCATAAAGTTGATTTTCATTTTTTTTTCCCACAGCATAATGAATCTAAATAATTCTTCATTAAGGGATTCTCCTAGGCCTCCAGTCACTGGGGAGCACTCCTGTAAAAAATATTAAAAATATGAGTATCCTTTTTCCTCAATAATTTACCGTTACTACATTCTTTTATGTACCTTTTCCTCGGTGTGTGTGTACAGAACAGGAGAGGAACTCTGATCACGTTAGTAAATGAGATGCAAATTAAGTCAAGCATAATTAATAACATGTTTGCTATTGAATGTTATTTTATCGTTCACAGAATTCCCCACTTGTGAGCCGCTGACTCAATTTATATGCAAAAATGGAAGATGCATCAGCAGCAAATGGCACTGCGATTCTGGCAAGTACCAAACGTGCGCACTGCACGGACTTGACTGGGGGCCTGGCTGCCGGGGCTGCCCGGCTTCCTCCAAGATAGCTTGTAAGAGAAGCTTGCCCAGCTAAGAAAAATGGCTAAGACAAGTCGTGAGGGGACACCTGGCGCATCGCTGGGGATTATTGTTGAGGATAATGGAATTCAGTATTTACTCCATGGGGCTATGAAAGAAATTTGTTTTCAAATAGTATTTGGACACAAATGTAAGTCTACAAATGTAAAGAGGCAATGAGAAAGTGACCTGGATAATTCAGATGCACCAAAACATTTGTGTGACTTCAGGATGGAGTAGATTAGAAAGTATTATGGGGTCATCCAGATGGTTTCAACTGTGACACCTTGCATTTTATGTGCAAGCGATGTTTATTCTTATACTCAGTTGTATCATTATGCTAAATTATTCCAAATACAGGTAAATGAATTATATATGAGTCAATGCATTTTCAGCTATTTACTTTAATCTATTTTCTTTACATATTCCTCTCTCCTCTCTCCTGCAATTGTTTTTAATAAAAAGTATAAATTACTTCCAGTGATAGCATACAACAATTTCCAAGTAGAAAGAAAACTGCGATAGGTACTTATTATTGAAAGAGTGCAGGATATGTCTTCACACTGGAGAATGAGAAAGAAGGGACTGAATGGAAGATCTAACTATAAATTCTGGAGCATAGGGATTGTAGGTTTGGATAATACTTGTCCACAATGATAATATCGTGGTTTGTGTCATGTGATGAAATTTGTAAATGACTGTTGTCCTTTCCTTTCACGCTGCATAGATGTTTTCATTCATTAGTTATTTCTTAGTGAAACAGCAGTGAAGCCTTAAAATCAAACGCCTGTGATTTGTCCCTCTTAATTTGCTTTTCTTTTTTAAATTTTAGTTTTATTCGTAAAATAATGAAGATTACACACATCTGGGGGAGTAGGTACATGTACATCACACAGCTTATTTCCTTTTTTAATCCTCTCCCACTTTCCATCCTCCTCCCTCCCTTGTCTCTTCCTTTTTTCCATTTACATTCTTCTTGTTATTATTGTCCCTAACTTGTGTTTATGATATATAACGTTTACATTCTTTATGGGCATCCATTACCTGCAGCCGGTACATCTTAATTCTTCTTAGTTCTCCTTCCACTCCCAGTCTGCCCTCACCCTTGGCCTCCCTAAAGCCTTGCCCTTTGCAGGAGATCTAACCCTTTTATTTTCTTTTATTCATCCTTCATTATTCTCTTTGTACTTTGCCTTCATTTGGAAGTTGATATTGAACCAGAAGAAAAACAACCAACTGTATAAAGTTGAAAATAATTTTTTCACTATGCACGGGAAATATTAAACACTGATTCATTGCCTCTTTTTTTCAAGCCAAAAGCAAACTGTTACAGGGGGAAAAAAGCTAGATATTTTATAGAAAAAGAAGTCCGCCTTCTTGCATCAGTTTTTACTGCCTGATGTTGCTGGTTCTTTCCAGATGATGACTGTGGGGACGGAAGTGATGAGCTGGCCTGTGTTCACTCTTGCTTTGACGATCAGTTCCGATGTGCCAGCGGCAGATGTATCCCTGGCCATTGGACCTGTGATGGTGACAATGACTGCGGAGACTTCAGCGACGAAACCCAAGCCAACTGCACCAAAGAAGGTCAGCCATTTTGCAAATGTGTGAAACCGCATTCTAAATTGAGATGTGTAGAGCACTTCAAAGTGAATCATTCTATAAAAACTTCATTGTTCATCAAATTCAAAATGCACATGCAGAATGATATGAAATAATGTGCTGTATACTTTCTTTTCTCAGATTTCTCATCTCAATACTCCCTTAGATATTTTATGTGATGTTACAGACCACTCTTTTAACCTTTCACAAACCCCAAGGCCATCCAAAAAAGGAAAGGAAAAAAAAATAAGGCATGGATAATTTTCCTTTTATTTCCACTTCTATTTTTTCTCCTTAAAAATTAAAACAATCCCTTTATGAACATAGATCTACTTCCCCTGAGTCACTTTCTGGACCAGAGAAAATGGATCATGGCTACTGTTCTTGGTAGACCAGTGAGGAAGCAGACACGAACACTGATACATATTGCTTTGCAAAGTTTAATCACCATAGGGAATGATATATCACAAGTCACTTTGGAAATATTTATAGCAAAATTTATCTTGTTAATCAGTCTTATAATCAATGTCATTAAATAGAACTTTCTTGTGCTAAGAAATTGAAAGATTTGTTTTTTTACATTTTTCCACAAATATTTGTTGACTACTAAGGGATAGATTAAAGGGAAAAATGCTCCCTGTTTAAATAGCTACTGTACTAAAATTAAGTTTTTTTAATGTGGTAGCATGTGTAACTTCTACATTCTATGATCATAAAAAGGAAAGCTGAATTTTCTGTTTCCCAAAGAGATGCATCTGTTGTCTACAACTGTTTGACGACCTATAAAGTGGGCAATTTCTCCTACATGAGTTCCTTTTATCTCTTCTCTCTATATCTCTGTGTCACTGTCTATTTCTGTCTCTCTCCCCCATAAGATATTAAATACATACCCTTGAATGTTAAAGTAATAAATCTGGTGTTTGTGTCAACTTTCTAAGTGGTTCATTAGAACACGTCTTGTTTGATTTTTGTTCTACTTGTGTCCTGCGTTACAACAATAATACCAATGATCCAAATATGCATGGTTAAAAAATGACCCTCAGGTAGGAAGGAATAAAACATAAGGCCTCATGTTTAATGGTCTTCATAGGATTCATGCCTTTTCTGGGAAGTGAAAATAGTAAGAATTATTATGAAAACAGAAAATGATCAAGAGAACTTTATGATAATATAAGATTTAACATGGACATAATTTGGTTCAATTTTGCTTCAAAATTTAAAGAACTATGAATTATAGATAGGGCAACTTTTAGTATTATGTATCGATTTCATTATGCATTACATTAACATCCTCTCTCTTTTTCTTCCTGGCCTTTTTACCTCTCTTCTTTTTATCTTTACTTCAATCTTATGTCCTTTCTCTCTCAATTTAGCTGTTCCATGACTAGAGCTTTTTGTTTGTGACTAATCTGGAATGGAAAACCAAACTGTACACAAAGAATTCTTCCTTTTAAAAATATTTGAAATATCTTTCTGGAGAGTGATTGACATTCATTACTACATCACAGTTAAAATTGTATCTCCTCCCCTCACGGGTGTCTTCGGGGCTCCTCATGGGGTGGGCAGCTGTGGCCTGCGGGCCATGCCCCAAGCTTTGTAGTGAAAGACAAATGGCCCCAAAGTTAATTTATTTTCATCTCAGAAGCAAGATCCTATCCTTAAGTTAAAATAACCATTTCACATTAGGAATTTTTGAGAAGATTGTTTAAGCCTCATGAGTGGGCTGATCCCCTTGTAGGACCTGTAGAATGGATTAGTTTTTTAGGTTGGATTATGTAGAAGCAGTGGCAATTTATGTAATGGTCTTCTTTAGAGCACCTCAATTTTAGTCATAAATTGCTGTCAAGGATATGTTATCAATTGGATGTCATATATTACTTATGTCATTATGGTAAAACACTAAGGAGGTGATATAGATAATCTATAGCAAAGAGTGAAGGCAAGTTCTTCCACAAAGACTACTTTATCACTTAATAAATGGTTCTAGGTTCCCTAATCAAACATTTTGCATGGTAAATACAATGTACAGGAATTGAGAAAAGTTAATATTCTGAGATGACTTACATTTAGGGTAATCTAGAGAATTTCAGTGAGAATTTAAATAAGTTTACCCGTCACTATTTTGACTATGTATTCTGATAAAGGAGCTATAAAATAGTGATGACACATAGAATTGGTAAATCTGATTTGGAAAGTCATGTATGCATGCAGGATTGGTGAGGCCAATGCCAAGGTGAAGCAGAAATTTGATGTAATTAGTTATATAATTTGGTCCCCAAATCTTCTTTGGAAGAAAGAACAAGGGATTCTGGCTTGAGTTTTAGACTTCCTGTCAAAATTAATCACATCCACCATGTAATTGTTCAGCACTTTGCTTTGCACTGCCTGGGTGAGCAAAGCATATGGTGTGGTTTCTCTCAACTCATACTGTTTCCAAAGGGTAAAAATACTCTTGAACTAATTTTTAAGAGGAAAGGAGCCAGAGAAACTAGCAAGTGGAACTTTCCATGTATGATCTCCATCTCAGAAAATTCTTCATCTGTTCATATTGTTTGATATCACTCTGACATCATTTTGAGGAAGGAAATATTTCCAAAATGATGAAAAGGTTTTTATTAACAATGTGATTAATACATAGGAAACTAGAAGTGTATAGCCCTTAATAGCACCAGGCGTGGTGACACGCACCTGTAATCCCAGCACTTGGGAGGCTGAGGCAGGAGGATCACTGAGAGTTTGAGATCAGCCTGGGCTACAAAGTGAGCTCAAGGCCAGCCTGAACTGCACAGCGAAACCTTGTCTCAGAAAGCTTTTTTAAAAAGGCTCTTAACAGATTGATAGATACCCATCTCATTCCCTTTTAATGTTATGTTGTTCTTTTTTGCTCAGTTTTAAACTTTCTTGTAAAGCAGATTCAATGCCTTCAGAAAAAACACTATATTTTTATAGAGTCACTGTCTCTCTCTTTCTCTCTCTCTGTCTCTGTCTCTGTCTCTGTCTCTGTCTCTCTCTCTCTCTCTCTCTCTCTCTCTCTCTCTCTCTCACACACACACACACACACACACACACACACACATACACACTCAGAAAGAGGAGAGGACAAAGAAAAAGAGACCACAAACATGCAAAGCATGGAAAGAAAAACCATCTGCAGCACAATATTTCCTTCCTTCATCCCAGTGCCCATCTCTTATTAATTTACTTGCGATTTGTTTTTGTTTCTGAATCCTTTGGTTTGTAGATTTTTTACAGCTGGGGAGTGTATTAATTTTCTAAATGAAAAAAATAAGTGAATCTAGACTCTCACCAGATTTGGTGTAAGGTATCAAATTTACCCCTCGAGTTCTGGCAGGTTTTTAGGGACAGGCGGCTTTATCTGGAAGCATTTAAAGAGTAAAGTTAAAATCAAACTTCAGTTCTTTCTTACAAGTCATTAGCTCTTTGGCTGTATTAAAAATAAGGAGACTGTGGATATAATTTCACATTTAAAAAATACCAAATATATGGAATTAGGTTGATCTCACTGCTGTCAGTTTAACTTATTTAAATTATATAAATTTCCACTCATGTTTTTTTGTGAAATATCAGCAGAATTCATAAGTCACATAAATATTTCTAATATAAAGGTATATAAATTGTTGAGTACATTTGGCTAGCTCTACCTTTAATTAAATTTACATTCAAAAATTATAAAAATATATACCAAACAATCTAATACAGATTTGATAAAGGAACAGGTATTTTTCTTTAAGCTAGATTTTGCCTAAATGTTATTTTTCTCAAAAGTAATTAAAATATTCCTCCAATACTTGTATTCTATATTTTGAAGGGGCACCTGACCCTAGTTTATTGATTCTACCTTTAGTGGCTTTTGTTTGGCTGAAATATTTACTGCCTGTTTCTCTAAATGAACAATGTGAATAATGCTGGGACACATATGATCTATTTATATGACTTTCATGTTTGATTTACTATGAGTAATGTAACAATTCCCAAATTCATGGGATAATTAGGCAGATGAAATTATTAATGCATGTGTTCTTACTCATCTACTGCAACTATGTATTTTGTGCCTACTTTGGACACTTCCACCATTTTTTGAGAATTCATTGCTTTGTTCACTCATTCATTTCCCTTACCATGCTATTGTTCCGGACTGAATAAATGAATTAGGATAATCTCACCTTATCTTTACAGTTTTACAGCCAAACACACTATTTGACACACACTGAGTAATTGTTAGATAAAAGTTTATTCCTTTACCACCAAATTTGATTACAGTCTTAAAATCCATGCCTTTTTGGCTCTGTCTTTCCTAGGTAGTAATCTATGAGTGCCTTTTCATACAATGCACAAGAGTAAGTTCATTGATTGAGTGAAGTGCATTTTTAGTACATTATTTTTATTTATCAAATGAATATTGGCAGTTCCAGCTCTGAATTCAATGAAATGAAAAAGAAAGAAATGTCCCTTATCTCATGTTGCTATTTCCTTTTATTTCAATTCTTTTTCTGTTCAACTGGCAATAAATTTTAAATCTTTTTGGATCTATCATTTTGCATTAGGTGCCAATCAGGAAATTCCGTTAGTGATAAAATGGGGGAGGACAGGGAGTTACTGTATGTTGGTGATGCACTAATTGTGAGGTACTTTATAACTATTGCCATGTTTAATCTTCCCAATAAACATTAAGAGAAAGTTTAAGCCACTTATCCAGGACCACACTGTTGAAGTTCCACATAAAAATTAATTATTCTTTTCTCCTTGATCCAAAATCTATTCTTGTCAACATGGAGTATGATGTTTTTACAAAGTTTATAGGAATTGGTGTTTATGATACTCAAGTAATTAATAGCTTGCACTGAGTTGCATACTCAAGTTTCATTGAAATATTTTTATTTATTTTATTTATTATAAGTCACTGTAATGAAATTTCACAGTGGGCATTAGAAGGAACCAAGGCTATTACATTAAATAGTCTATGT